TCACTCAGAAGCCAAATCTTTTTTTTTTGGTACCGGAGGTTGAACTCGGGTCCTTGCACTTGCGCAGCAGGCGGCGAAACCACTGAGCTAAATCCCTGGCCCTATGAAGCCAAATCTTAAAGAAGATTGTTCTTCTTATTATGTGACTAGTCTGTGTGACTAGGTCCATAGTACCTGTAATATGTAGAATTCTGTAGATTATCACTTTCTAACTGAACATGACCTGCTGGCACATAACTATGGCTTTTACAGAAATCTGATGAATTAGTGGTGAGGATTTTGTCTACTTCCAAACTATGTTCTCTTTTTACAGATATTTGATTTCGGATCACTTGGACCTTTGCAATAACAATGTGACCTCTTTGGATACCATGAAAACATTGGCAAATATTTTCTGCAAAGATAATATCTGAGTTTTGAATTGTAGGCTCCACTGATGGTCCTAAACACAGTACAGTACCATCAATACATTCAGAATCACAAGGATTATATTGAATAGCCAAAAACTTAAAAGGTTTTTTTTTCTAGAATATTATGAATTGTAAGTCTATATAGACTCTGCCACCACTGGTCATAGATCCAGTCTACATTATGGTCAATTTTTTAGGGTACTTGTAGGGTGTCCGGAAAAAATCTAAAGGATGTCTCAAAGCATATATGGGTGACCCATGGTTTCTGGTTTTTTTTTTGGCTCCAGAGAAACCCAGAAGATCCTCACCCAAGACTCAGATGAACTTTTCTTCAAGGGCTGAACATATTATTCTTTATATGAAATGAAACTGTATGTTAAAACCAAATAGGGCAAAATTATTGGTTTTTGCTTTCAAGACTTCAAATGTCAAAAACTAATACTTCTTTAGGGATGGTATGCAAATGAATTTGGGATCTTTAAAAGCTAATCTGAGGTTATAACATTTTTAAATCTGTTATAACAATAAAGTTTTTGGACATTTGGATCCTTTAGAGGGTAGGTCAAGGATCTATTGGTGTCTCTCCCTCCGTGTTGGAGGTATGACTGTCAGGCTCTGTCTCCTGGTGTTGTTGTTTTTGCCTTGGCTATGAAAACAGCTTTCTGACTGGCGAGGCTGTCCCACTGCTGTTTTGGTGTGCATGCAAACCGTAAAGTAGCATTTAAAAATGCAAATATGATTGTGTTAGTCCCCTGCACAAAATCCATTGATAACTCTACCTCATAGGCTGCAAGTCTTCTCCTGATGCCCATGTGTGAACCTACCTCTGGCAATTGGTAACTTCTGATTTTATACTTGGAACACTCTCATATTGCTATGGTGTTATAGTATTGCCAAGCCTTTCTCGTTATCTTCTCTCTCTTTTAAGCGCATTTCACCTCTTTCTTAGCTTACTCTTCAAGACTCAGCTTAGCTGTCATCTTCTTCATGAAGTGTTTTTTGTGATTCCCATTTGTTTTTGACCTTCCTTTGCTGGTGCTGTCCTTCTATCTGCACACTTTACTGCTCCTGGTTGCATTGTATTTGAATTGAAAGTGACCAGTCCTGAGACTGGATCCTTTCACTTTATATACATAGAGGTCAGCACAAGGCCAGGCATGAAGTTGATCTCAAAACATGTGAGCAACAGGCTTTGAATTATTTAGTAAATTTGTTTTTAGCAAAGAATCATAGATGCTTAGATAGATTTAGGTAAACGTACATATATCAAGACTTTATGAGATTCTCATATTTTGCAGAAGTTTTCTCTGGGAGCTTTTTTTTATGTCCTAACATGGCATAATAATTGTGCTCTTGAAAAATGGAGGCAATGACATAAGTTTATTGTATATTCTTTCACAAGTTTGTTATTCTACGGAAATCCAGAATATCATTGGTACAAGTTTCATTGTAATTTTATTGAACCTAATGTCATCACAACTAATAATTGTTGACCAAATACTAGTCAGAAAAATTTTGTTCATTAATGTAGGAAAAATATACTCCTTTTGGTATGACTGGTTTCCTTTTAAAAATATAAACTGTGAAAAAGGAGAATGCTTTAAGAGGATGTTGCCAAATGGATAAAACTGAGCTGCAATCTATCTTAGACTGTAAACACAGTCACTCTTGGGATGAACAGGGAATGCTTCTACCTGGCACATCATAAGTACTGAATTCAGTACTTTGTCATTTTTTAATGGCTTTGTATAGTCACATGGCTTTAGTGTAGATTAAAATTTTAATCCATTTTTAGTGTAGATTAATTTTTTAGTGTGGATTATTTTTCTGCAATAAAGTGAAAAGTACTCAAGGCCTGATTCCTGACTGAAAGCCTTCTTTTTGTTACTGCATCCTGGACAACCAGCTCTGGACAAAATGCTTCCCTTTTCTGTGTCCACTTCAGCCTGTAGAATGTAAGAACCATGAAGGTTTGTTGTTTCATTGTAATGTAATTGAGCATAACGACACCACAGCTAAGTAATCCTGCCATGTAAATACCAAATATCACTCAGCAGTATTTGATTGTCATAAATGGATGAATTTACATTTCAACCCAAAAGAATGCAAATCCATGAGGTCAGGATTTTATCTGTTTTGCAAAATCAATGTATCCTAAGTGTTTCATATAGTGCCTGTTATAACGTAGTAGATGGTCATTGGAACCCCTTGGGCTTTGGAACTCCTACCAAGACATGGACTTGTGAAGTTTGAATTTCCAGGATGTTTAAAATGTTATTTATAATTCCAAGTTTTAAGATGAGGATTTTTAAGGAAATATTGGGCAATGGTCATGTGGAGAGTATATTTTTGTAGCCTGGATCTCTTTTTGGTCCCCTGAAATCACTGTCAAGACCAGCTCTATCATCCATTTCTATAAAGACATATTGGTAGACTGCTGGGTAATAATTCCAGAATGTGTGTGTGTGTGTGTGTGTGTGTGTGTGTGTGTGTGTGTGTGTGTGTGTGTTCTGAGTAGATGAGATGAAGGGTTTTGGAATGAAGGTTTTTAAAATCCTCTTTTCCATTTCTCATGTGGTTCATCTTATGCTATTTCTCTTTCTTTTTCCTTAGCAATGTGGAGCTGAGCCTCCCCTAACACAATTTTATCACATTCTTAAAAAGTGGAGAGTTATAAAACTCACCTTCTGAAGCTTTGGGGAAGCATCAGGTCAGGTCTTTAGTGTATATGATGATGGGGTGTGTTTTCTCCTCATGATGCAGGCTGGAGAGTGAGTCTTAGAAGAATCTCTCACTTTTGGTTAGGGAGGTGGAGTATGCAGTGAGTAGACTCTCTGTCTCCTTCCCAGTTTTTCCTAAGCCCAAGTTTGGACAGCCAAGGGAACAGAGAGAGTGATGAGGTTATCTGGAAACTGTGGCATCTGCTTGAAATAGAACATCTTATACATTCCTAAATCCACATTGTGGCTGTTTATGGAAGAGGAAGATGGTGTGAGCCTGTGCCACAATTCTGAGTATCTGTAAACCTTGCTGATCTGTGTATTTAGATTTTTTTTATTGTCTGGAAAATAAGATGACATGTTGTTCTTACAGGAGAAATTGCGGTTTAGAAATCTGGGCACAGAGAATTCACTGTATTGAAGCTCATGGTTACAGATAATGAAATTTGGGCTTCTCTGTCCCTGTCTCCCTCCTGGAACATGGGTCGAAACACTCCAGTTCCAGGCTTTGCTAACTGGGTAACTGGGGCAGGTCACACTCAGCCCCTCTTAGTCCACCATGCTCCTTTGTTCATGATGATGATAACAGCGACCCTACAGATATCTGGTGTGACCTAAACCAGTCCAAGAATGAAGATGAGCACAGAAATCCTGTGAGACAGTCTTAATCTTATCGTCATGCCTCTCACCTCCCTTCTCCTTTAGTATGAGATTTATCCATTTGAAAAATTAAAATCACTTGTTCTTATAGATGCTCTTTTTTGTTTGAGCTGCTAGAAAGCTAAGAACAAACTTTTTAAGTCACTTTTATCAAGTACTTCATGATTTTCATTTTGTATGATAGCCTCATTTCACCATCTGTTTTTTGCCACTTTCTTTATTTCCCTTTGTTCTTGTTACTTTACACATTCAGACTATATTAAATGTATGTTGATGTAAGCAGACTTAATTTCTGTTTGGAATAAATTATTATATTGGTATATTGCTGGTATTAGACTGGTATATTACTATATTATATTGGTATTATTATACCAAACAAATAAATATGACTACACCAATTTGCATTCTTTCCTATTGAGTTGGAGGGTGAAGAATAAAATCCTCAGAAGGTCTGAGTTGTGTTACTTCTTCAGTGCAACTGAAGTGTGAATAAGTATCTGTTTCAAATATTCCACTTCTAGGGTAGTGGTAGTGGTAAGGTTTGTTAGCTTTTTGGGTGAAAATAACCCAAAATTCTTAGCTGATACTGTTTAGAACTGGGAGCTGCTGGAGGAAAAATACCCACAGTTAAACAACTTTTATTTGTGCTGAAATTGGCTGCTTGCTTTATTTCGAGTTATATATACTATCGGGGAATGTTTAGCTGAAGAAAGTTCGTTAATACTTTAAGACAGAGTCTTGTGTAAATGTATTTTTCATCATCTTTTAGGCATTCTTACTTGGAACAGAGTTCTGGATTATATCATAAATAAGGAGAAGAGACAGGCCCCCATAGGTTCTGATGTAAATATTTTGAGTTTTGTTAGTATTTTATCACAAATTTGTTTGCTTTGTATGTGATGCTAAATGATCATTTGTCTTTTAAGTGTTGTTTAATTGCTGATTGACTTAATACTAATTCTCTTCTTGAGTGCTTTTATCTTACACTTATTCTCTAAATTAAAGTCTGCTTGTACTGATGGATACATATTAAAACTGTGCCTTATAGTTGTGATATATTTCTCATTTTGTTTATATAATCTGTAGAGCTCATAGAAACTTTTTGGCCAAACAATCAAACAAATATAACAAAAAAGAAACTCTTTAGTGTTTATATTGGTATGCTGATAAATATATGATATAATTCAATACAATTTATTTTGTTTTTCAGTTCTTTCGGGAGGACCATTGCCTCAAGGACATGAATTTGAACTGTATGAAGTTAGATTTCACTGGGGGAGAGAAAACCAGCGTGGTTCTGAGCACACGGTTAATTTCAAAGCTTTTCCCATGGAGGTAAGAATAATGATCATTTCATAAAAAAATCTTGTTCTGTGAAGTGTTCAGTGATTTACTGAAAATGGTAGAGTTTAAAAGCAGGTGCATAGCTTTTCAGTGTTATCAATTTACACTAAGATGAAAAGGTGCTTAATAAAATGTATAGTTGGCGCAGCAAAGTATACTTCCCACTTACTTTATTGGGCTTGGGGTGTATAGGTAAGCAATTGGCCATAGAATTCATCTGTTCTCTTAAATCCCATCCTAGTATTAATGTTGTGAGCATGTGCTGTTTATGCAAGTTTAGTGATTGCTTTTGTAGATACTAAGTAGGTGATGAGCTGGAAGCAAATAGCTATTGAAGAAAGCTCAGCAGTAATTAGACATCTAGTTTAGCTCATTTAAAATTGGTAGATTGGCCGGGGATTTAGGTCAGTGGTTTCGCTGCCTGCTGCGGAAGCGCAAGGACCAGAGTTTGATCCCCGGTATCAAAAAGAAAAAAATTGGTAGATAGGTTTTATTCACTCCAAGCTATTGGGGAGAAGAGGATTTATAGATAGTGTTTTTTTTTTGTCTGAAATACTCCCTTTGCTACTTACCTTCTTAGTTAACTCTTCTTTCTTCAATATACAGTTGAAAACTCATATCTTCTATGGGATTTTTCTTGAGTTCCTTCCCTAGGCAGAATTTATTTCTTCTCTGTCCTCCTGGTGTACTTGATAGGTTGCTGCCATGCTGATACTATGAACTGGCACATATCATGCCCTTTGTCTTGCTGACTGTGGACTCTGAAGGACAGTTCCTTTCTCATATCCTGCTGACTCCCATCATCTAACCCACTGCTAGGCACATCACAGACAGTCTATGTCGATGAGGTTGAGGGGATGTCTGTGTTGTTCCAGGCCTCGTTTATAGTACTTTCCATAAAGAACCTCAGTTCTCCGCAGGAAATGGCCCTTCAGTGCCATGTAAGATGTCTTAGTCACTTTCCTTAGCCACTTTCCTGTCCTTTTCTTCTCCTTTATCCTCTGGGTGCTCTAATCCATTTCTGAGGCCTTAATTCTTCATTATATCAGCTTAAGATTTGTCTCCGTCTAGATTCATATAGACAACAATGAATAGATTGTCTAACTTTTGTGTTTGGTAAACATCATAGATTAAACACAATTCAACCCTTAATAAAAGTGTATTTTGGAGATTGCTGGAATGTCAATTTTATTTCTCCATTATTTACAATTGCATGCATGCTTAATATTAAATATGGACTTGCTCATGGCTAGATACCATGTCTAACATTACCACATTGGTAACTGGAAATCACTACTTTATATTTTTATAAAAATGATCTATGGCATGTATTTTAAATATTAAGTTAGGGTGTTTTTCAGGATTACTTCAAGAAGGTCAGGATATTTATTCCATTATGTGGTACCTATATATAATGGAATACTACTCTGCTATAAAGAATGACAAATTTTAGACTTTTGTGGGAAAATGGATGCATCTGGAAAATATAATATTGAGTTAAATAAACCAGACACTTAAGCTTAAATACCATATACCATTTCTCACATGGGTAAGGCAAAATACAAACAAAGAGAATAATGTATATATTTATATATATTGTGGTACCAGGGATCGAACTTGGGACCTTGCGCTTGCCAGCCAGGCGGCAGAACCACTGAGCTAAATCCCCGGCCAAACAAAGACCATAATAAGGATGGATAGAAAGGGACCAAGAAGCTGGATTTCTTGCAATAGGGAAGTGGTCCAAGGGAAAAAGAGTGAGGGGTGAGGAGGAGGGGAAAGGGAAATAAGTAGAATAAAGATAGGTCAGATATAGGGACTTAATAGCCACAATTAAGGTAAACATCATATGCCATAATTTGAGCTATTATTACTAATAACAGTAAGAATGAAAATGGAATAGGGGAATTGGAGGAGGAGAGAAGGAGGAGAGGGGAGGAGAAGGGGATTAAAAATGAAATAAGCTGTGGTGTATACGTGTAACCATTCCTCAAGATGATTGTGAGCTGCAAACATATTCTACTAAAATACAAAATTAAAATAAAATTTAAAAAGAGAAAAAGAAAAAAAAGGCTTTAAACTGGGTGTAGTGGTACATGCCTATAATCTTAGGTCTCAGGAGGCTGAGGCAGGGGGATTGAAAGGTCGAGTTCCACCTGAGCAACGTCGACACTATTTCAGAATTTAAAACCATAAAAAGGGTAGAGATGCAGCACAGCGGTAGAGTATCCTGTGTTTGATCCCCAGTACCAGAAAAGGTCCTTAAAATTGAAATGTGAAATATTTTAAAGAAAGAAGGACAAAAACCAGAGTGTGACCTGTTGAAGAGCATTATGAGGTGTGAGGACTGTAAGAGAAGGCATCTTCTTAAAGACCTTAATAAGGGGTGTCTTCATGCGTCCTCTTTCAGAGAGCTCTTTTCTCATTGCCAAAAGACATTGATTTCCATGACCTTAAAACAATTCTGGCTACTGCACTGGGGCCATCCAACTGGAGAAAAAAAAATATACACCAAAACACATGCAAGAGGAAAGACAGCACAAATCAGAACAGTTTGAAACTAGTGAACCTACTGGGTCATGGGGGGCAGGGGACTGGTAGAACAAGCCCTGCCCTCTTCTTTGGGTTTGAAAGGGTATTTCATTGTTTCCTTCCAATCAGTCCTCAGAGGCAGACTCTAGTAACCATATATTTTAGAGAGGTGGGCATTATTGGGTAGGCAAGAACTTCGGGGTGGGAATTCAGTGCCTTTGTTCATGACACAGAGTTTACAGCCTTGAGAAGTTTAGTTAGATTAGGGGACTCGGTGATCTGTACTCTTTGTATGTAGTTAGAATTTCAGGACGAAATGTTCAGACTGGTCTGGCTACTTGGTGGTGTTTTAACGGCTCTGGTCCATTAAGCACAGGTAATAGATTGTTTTGAGTGAAGATTAAATTCTGGATGTGAGGCTTTGTTTCTGCAGAAATACTTATATTTAGGCAATGGAATTAATGACTCTAATTTTTCTAAAGTAGATAATGTTTAGTATTTATATACTTTGTTATCCCAGATTATCTTTGATGCAATGCTAGAGAAAATACTCGTATCAGTCATCTGATGTTTACTTGCGACTCTGTCCCCTTGCATGCACAAATGCTCTGGGTCTATAGAATCAGAGGGAGATGGCTGCAAAGCAGGTTAAAAAAGAGAGGCTGTGAACACCAAGCTGGATTTTGAGATGGCTTTTGGGCTGTGGTTACACAGAAGAGAAAGAGACTTTATGGGGAAGAACGTTCCAGGAGCAGTGCTAATATGGCAACTGGAGTTGCTTAGGTAACGCACTTGTGGTCCCTGGGTCCTGAATAGCCAGCAAGGAACACCTTACACAAAAAGGTGGCCAACAGGACAGTGGAGAGTGAGGGACCAAGTATCCTCCTGAACACTTTTACAGGTTTTTAAATACACTGTCCATATTTTATTTACATTTTAAGACTAACTTTAATTTCAAAGTCACATATCCATGTTCCTATTTCCTTTTTATTTATTTCATTTAAAAATAAATGATTGGTTTGTTAAACAAATACCAAAAACAACTATTTTATCTTGCCTGTTAACTGTAACACTCAGGATGATTTTTCACAGAAATCTATCCACCTGTCTTTCCTTGACTTTTAAAAATTATTACTACAGTATAATAACAATCTTGAATATATTTTTATACCACTAGGAGTCAACACCAGTGCTGCTTCAAAAGCTAACACAATTTGTAACTTCTGACAATTTCATCTGTAGCTCTTTCACTGAGCAGGATGGATAAAGCATGCCTTTTCTGGTTTTTCTTTTGGGTTTTTAAAGTTTTCAGATACATACATGATTCCCCAGCCATCATACATTTCTCACCAGGTTTTCATCCTGTAAACCTGAATTCTGTTACGAATACCCCACGTTTATATCTAAATGACAACAAGAGAGAAATAATTATTGTGCTGTGTTTCCCTGTCTGTCATCCAATAGTAGGATGTACACGTATTAAATATATTTTTACAAACGTCTGGGTTGTGGTAACCAGCTGGAATTATATTATTTAATTAACAAGTGTATTGCGGTAATCAAGACATTAGCATGAGTAGGAGGTTGTCCATTAAAGGTAAGTTTGAGATCAACTAAAGTCAGTTTTGTATATTTGTTCTTTTGGTAGCTGTGGAAGCTTTTTCTTTTCTTTGAACATCATTAGATATAGCTTGTGTAGTCTAACTTTGATTTTGTACCAGATTGGCCATTTTACTAACACTGGTCTGCTCTGTGCATCCACCATGTTACCGGAAGAACTTATTCCATTCACATCAACTTTTTATTATACATCTGGAGCTTTTGAATATTTAGGTTCAAGGTTCCCATCCTACTTTGATGCTATTTCTGTAATTTTTCTGTAGACACTAACATCTCTTTGCTGTTTTAAAGAAACCTAATTCTGTGGTTGGTGTAATTTGTGATAAATTATGATCAATCTTTACACATGAAGAACAGCTTGCATAATTCTTGCAGGGAGTGTTTCTTAGGCATTTAGCTTTTATACTGGAGCACAACAATAAAAAAATGGTGTGAGTAGGATTCCAACAGCAAGGCCCAGTTTAAATTTTTCTCAATAATTCTCTCTCTCTCTCTCTCTCTCTCTGCTGTCCTCATCATTTGATAAAGAGAGGATCTTGAATAACCAAATGTAGGAAGTATATGGTCTCAGAATAAACCATAGACCCATAAATTGAATAGGTTAAGCTTCCTAAATAGTCCTAATATTATTTCTGCTTTTCTCATTTCATCACTGGTACATGACGGTTTGTCAGGGATGAGTAATTATTCTGCCCACAGACTAGCAGAAATAACGTGTGGGGAGTGATTCTTTTGCTCCCTGGGTCTAAGTTTGTGACTTAAAAGTGAATTGCCCCACAAGAGGTCCAGCTTTGTTGTAGGGAAAACCCTAATCTTTACTTACATTGTACTTAAAGAGC